ATATATATACAGTATGTGAGAGACGACAAATTAAAAACCCTGTTGATATACTGACAATTGACATGAGTGGTTTTTTTTTAGAATGAGTGGCTGTCTGAGCTTTATTTTCTAGTCTGCATATCTGTCTACTTATCCTTATAAAAGTGGAAAACGTTGTCATTTTGTCAATTTATATAGCTTTAAAAGACTCAAATTACTAAAGTTAAGGTCATTGAAATTTTAATCCTTGACCAAAGACAACAAGCAACTACTGTACTTCTACGAAGGCAATTTTAACTTTAGTGTCAGACTGTGTTTGTCTTGTGCAAATTCATCAAAACATCATTCCATGTCCAAATGAAATCCAAAGTTTTAGGATCATGTGCAACACACGTTAAGAGAAAAAAAGTCTCACCTCCAGCACATGGAGCGGAGCAGTCGGAGCGCACCACACCCCAGCTGTACTCAGGTTTCCTCTCGGTGCGAGGCAGAGTGTACTCCCACACCACACCCGGGTTCCTTCCCTGGAGAAGGATCTGTCAGCCAAAAACCAGTCAGAATGGTGTCAGCTGCAAGAACAGTATAGAATTTAAAACCTTATTTCATCCTGGGAAAACACACTGACTATTAATACTACAACCAATTTAAAAATGAGTCAAAATGAATTTAAATCTCTTCTATAAATCAAGGAAACAGGCATTAGTGACCACTAATCTGAGCAGAAAATAAATTCTAAATTGATTTGTCACTAAACAAAAAATATGAATCAAATGGGGTACACTACTTAAAGAGAAAAAATATCATCAATCTGTCAGYTACTATACAACAAAAGACTCAGACCTGACTCAGACCCTGAGAGAAACTATGCATGATGATGAAGTTTATTTCAGTTACTCAGGATCACTTGTGTTGCTAGATTGGACAACATGGATCAAGAATCTTTTCAGATTGTTTAATTCCATTTTTAGTGAGGCCAAATTCCCAGACTAACCCAGTGCCTGGTTCATTTTATTCACATAACACAGCACACCTACCACGGGTTGCTTTTTCTGTGTGAGAGATTTATTTGGACATCCATTCAAGCAAAGACTGACGGATGAATGAAAGCAGACCTACCCATTACTGGAGAAGAAATATCATTAAAGCAGCCCCAGGAGAACACATTGTCATGGTTAAAAAAAATAAAAGTTTATTTCAGGTCAATGTACACAGACAGCTCATAGAATGTCATTTTAAACTATTTCAAAATGCATTATTGGATCTTGGTCAGTTCTTGTGWAGTCCATCTGTTTTATTCAGGTTAAGCTGATAAAGATTGTTATCATATATATATGATATATCGGTTCAGTCTTTAACCCAGCCAATACACTCTAATGCCTGCATGAATACTCTTTGAATATTTTTATTCTGTACCAAAGTGCAAAACAAAAAGATGCAAGTATTGACCTCATCAACCATTTGAATGGATTTGCTCAATAGGAATTGTAGAAGCCCACATTGGTGAGTTTCTTAAATGTTGGGGATGTTGTTATTTGTTTATCTGGACTAATTATTTCTTGGTTGCAGAATGAACTGCCCCTCTGGTATAATAAAGCTTACCGTAAAAAACAAGTGTGTGGATTGGTTAGAGCTAAAAATTATATGCATATGAATGGAAGAGTAGTAATTCATGAGAAAACTAACTTTCTCCAATAAAAGTTGTCAGTTAAATTTGGATTTATCTAAGTTAAGATAAAAGTCTAAATATTCAGTTTATCTTGGAGAGAAATGCATTGCCCGATCTGGAATGACTCCTTTTTTTTAATAGCTGAGGTTGTGTGACTGATGTCAGTCTGTCCTAGCTACATTGCAACAGCAGACCACAGAGTGTCTTGGTTTTCACAGCCCAACAGCCACACCACTCATCATGTCAGATGAGATGATGATGAATTACAATGTGGCAGATACAGATATCAGGCTCATGATGTTCTCCCATGGGCTGGCATGACCTTGTCTTGCCAAACCACAAAAATCTAAACTCCAGGGGGGGATAATCCTACTTAGTATCCACCGAGACCTCCGGAAGCAGCCATATGTTATGTCTGATCCCTCCTCGTTCTGCAAACGACGTCTACCCCCACCCCCTTAGCTTCTCCTCTCTACCAGCTGAGCAGCTGTGCACCTTGTCACAGCTTTCACTCACACTCTTCAACATGTTTTTCTTTCAATGTTGCAAATTGAGGAAGGTTCTGGGAGTAATCCATGCACACGTCCTCCCCTCTTTCCCTTTGTCTATCTATCAGAGCATCACTTCAGCCGAATGTGTGAAACGGATGATCTGTGGTTGAAGCACCACGCACGCGCCAATGCTTTCCTCTGCAGTTAAAGTCTCTGGATCCTGGTCTTAACGTCACACGTTGACAAAGTTGAACTGCGACAATCCTAATCTTTTAATCTCCCTCTCCCTCCCCTCACCCTGGCCTTATTTCTGTATCAACCTCTGTCTCCTTTTTGTAATTACAGAACAGACTTACGGAGATTATGCCTGCAACATCTGCAAATCAGCTGCAGAGAATCACTATGCGCTGGACAGATGCATGAGTCAGACTCACAAATAAGCAAATAAAAATCATTCAGTATTATAAAAAAAAGGTTACATTTCACAATATTAAATTTTACTTACAGTTAGCCACAGTTTTGTTTGGCTACAATATCACTGTATTCAAGAAAGTGATAAAGATGAAGCATGACATGTTTTATAAATCACTTAAAATTGGCATGAAGCACAATTAAATGTGTTAAAATTTCCCCATGGAGCAATAAACTGGGTGCACAGGGCTACAGTGTTTATATCAAGGCTGAAACAGGAAATCAATTTGTAAACTGTGATGGATATTTACATGATGTGTGATGGGCAGTTTTAGTTATTGCTTTGCTTCTAATTTTCCTTCCAAGTAACATTAAATCAATCTTTTATTGGAGATTTCCAGATCCTAGTGATGAACTTGCCAATCACAATGCCATCATGAAATGACTGAATGTTGTGTTCCAGCTGTTCTTTGGCTCACCCTGTCCTGTTGAGTGTCCCGCTGTCAACTGGGAACATTTCAGCATTTCTAATAATGCTTACAGTTGTCCCCCTGATCATTTTATTCTGTCACAGTTACYTCACAATGAACTGCAGATACTTTAAAAATTGACATAGAGGTGCCTGGTTATATTACAAAACAGGGAAACAAAATCGGGACCAACTGCGTCTTTGCTACAGTCATACAGTTTGTCTYAGTKCAGGGGYCTGCAACCTTTACAAACAAAAGAGCCACTTCTGCTCCGTGGCTCACTATTTGTTTTTGTTTGTTTGTTTGTTTGTTTGTTTGTTTGTTTGTTTGTTTGTTTGTTTGTTTGTTTGTTTGTTTGTTTGTTTGTGTTTGTTTGTTTGTTTGTTTGTTGTTTTTTTAGAAATTTATTCATTTCATTTGTGACACATATACANCATATACATAACAAAGAACAAAAAACATGCAATCAAAATAAAATTAAAAAAATGAAAGGCAGCAGAAGAATAATAAATCTTATAATATCTGCCCCTTTTTATCCCCAGAATATGTTCAAAATGAAAGGAAATTACAACAAAAATCAAAACAACTGAAAATACACAAAAAACAAAGCTAAACTTAAAACACCAACTCAAACAACATTTGGCATGAATTTACTTAAGCTTCTCCATATTTCTTCAGAATACTAGATTTTATCATTCTCTTCAATATATATAAAGATCTGGCATTTTTTTACCTCATCTTCCATGCTGTTTCACAATTGTAGTGGTCACCCTGGGTGGAATAAACGTTCCACACAATCTTATTCCCTGGATTAAAGTGGATTGCTCCTTCAGGCTCGTACGGAACCAGAGTTTCACAAACATTTCGATTCCCTTAAGATAATAACAGCTCTCTCTTTTAACAAAATTTACTTGAATGTTGGAAGGTAACACACCTTTGTGAGCTCTGTACATTAACAGTAAAATATTATAATCAATCAAATCATAYAATTTCAATTCATAAAACAATATATTCGATGGATGGCTGTAATTTTTTCTAGTAATAATTCTTATAGCTTTTTTCTGCGAAATAAAAATAGGATTTGTGATAGTTTTGCAAGCTTTACCCCAGACTTGTGGAACTAATTAAATGGGTCCAGAGCCACAAGCCTGTATCAACGGGTAGTCTGTGGGCCACTTCAAGTTTGTTGAATGAGGCCTTTCTGGCCAGTAGGGGTGGCATTATAAAACTAAAAATGTGTGGCAAATTTGAAGGTTTATTACTGTATTTATTTTTATATAAATATGAAAATACAGTACATGGCAGCACACTACAGAGGTGAAAAAGAAAATGGAGACAAGTGTCGGGGTGATTTGTGAAGAAGGAAAGCTGCAAGACTGAAAGGGTAAGTTTACAAGATGGTAGTGAGATCTGTTCTGGTTTACAGATGGTGGCACCAACAAAAACATGTACAGTAGAAGTAGCAGATAGTGGACAAAGTATGTTGAACATGAAGCTGCCATGAACTACGAAAAGAGAGGACACAGATGAGATTTATAGATGTGAATAAGGTGGACGTACAGGAGGTTGATGTGACCGAGGAAGAAGCTAGGGATAGAATGAACTGTAGGCAGATGAGCCATTGTGTTGACCCCTTAAGTTGTWAATGTAAAAATGTAAATATTACAARAAGTTTAAACCACAATACAAATGTCCATTTACTAATGTTTTGTGTGATGGGCTAATCAGAAATGTGACATGTGACACCTATTCACATTAGCTGCATTGAGCTAAAAGCAAACTAGCAAAGCAGAGAGAAATCAACTATATAGCTATAAATAATTGTAATACCAAGTTTTGTTCACAAACACGAGATCACAGCTGGTCTTTAGACAACATAAAAAAGACAAAGTATTTCAAATAGCAATTATAACTTATTGGCTGAACTTGGATGCCCACAGACCAAAGCCTCTTGACCAAAATAGCAACATTAGCACTTGTATATTTCCAGACAGCCAGACAAGTGACCACCAAAGCATGTTAGAAATATAACACTGGTATTTTGTTCTGGACTCACGAGCCAATCATTCCTGTGTTAACCACAGTATGTCAGTAGCCCAGGGGACAGAGTGGAGACTAGCTTCTACATGAATATCACTTYGCTGTCTGCTCTTCAGCTGGTTTCCACTTCTGTTTTCACAGCCAGGGCTCAGAGGTCAAGAGAAAATAGATGCTTTTGCTGACAAAGTTATTTGAGAAGAACATCCCCCACATCCCTTTCCAATCACTTAGACCTCGGCATGACTCTGACACTTGTCCAATGTTGGTTTTGCTGTCAGAAGGATACGCCTGCCCAGCATCAATATTATGCTGCCTTACGACAGGTAAGAACTTGCACTCTTCTCCTATGTTCTGGTTTCTAACACACGACTGATTACAAATGTGAATTTAAAAGAAAAGAAAAAAGAAAAAATACTAGCTCATAAATCATTTGCTATAGTGTGCAGAACATCTCACTCCAGGCAACATCTGATTTTCTACTTTTCATTTCTGCCTTGAGAATGGCTGTTTTTGCTTTACAGCACATGGTTGCAACAAAGCAACTCTACAATACATGCAATGCTACAAAGCAACCCTATACATATGGGTTAGAGTGTGTGTAAACATTGCTATCTACTTAAACCTGTCTTCAAATAAACAGTGTTCCTTAGGAAACCAATCTGAAAAGTAACTTTAACTGCCACAATTTGGTCATTTATGTGTTTTTTGCTTGCCTTGCCATACTCCTGAAGTTTAAATAATTGGCCCACAATTTGCAGAAATGCATATTTTTTTATGTTTATTTTCTTTATTTCCCCATCCTCTATCACTACGTTCTCTTGTGTAGGGGTCACCTCGAGTGAAGAAACAAGATTTACTGCCTTGAAGCAGGCCTCGGACAGGCCTGATGAGAGGACAGGAACTCTGTCACAAACTGAACTCTATTTAGGCCATGACAGGTCTTTCCAACCGTGGRAGAGAACCCCWYAGTTCTCTTAATCWGATAATGGACAGAACAATATCTTCTGTTTGTGATTCATTTGTTGTTTAACTAAGAATGTTTATGCATTTGTTAAATCATGATAATGACTGTCACAGGAAAAGTGGAACCACTTCTTTTCTTTTATCATGCCTTAAAGATTTATAATGGTATAAAAAATCACAGAGTCTGATTACAATGTTTTCATTGTGTTTTTATGTAAATCACTGTTTTCATTTTACTGTGAACACAGTAATATAATTGTGGATTTTTCCTGAGAAAAGCTTTCATTTATCTGGACTAACAGAAGGTTCAGAACTGATTATAGAACAGAAATGTTAATTAATCATCATAAATGTTTTGCAGTGATTTCTCTTAGAGTCTATCAAAAGAAAGCTGAAAAGAGGTTATCATATCATGTTGTTGAACAACCACAGAATTTTAACCTTGGGCTGGCGCCGCTTTATCTTTCTTTCTCTGACTTATCTCTAAGCCTGAGGGCGGAACCAAAGTTCGTCCGTTTCTTTTACTAACCCGGACGGCTTTGAGACACACACTCTTCTTCCTGATTCCAACCTAGGAAGACAGCTGGGATTCTCTCCGGAGAAACCTCAGTTTGGCTTTAAGTCTGATCCCATGAGCTAACTAGGGAAGACTTCACAGCCAGGGACCCGGCATGCCTGCTGGTGGTCTCACCCCGAGGCTGAGCCTCTGAGTGCGTTTTTAACTCCCGAGGGGAGATTTTATTTTGGAAGGAGGAACCGGMTATGGCTTGRATTTTTCTGGCTTGGACTGAAAAAAGAYGAAAGTTACCTGGAAAAACACCTGTACGCCAATGACCGGTAAGCGAGCCGACATCAGTTCCCTGACTGATYGGAGGCGAGCCAGCTCCTACTTTAAGAAGCCATCACCAGGTAAAKCTGATGTGTTCGGAGTGACRTGTCATGTGGAACCTGAGCTTAGAAAAGACGTGCAGTTCCGGTTGACCCACACTTTGATAAAAGTAACAATAGTAGTAACATACTAATCTTACTTTCCTCCTTTCCTTGTTCTTAATTTGCCAAAACTTGAGCTAAAAGTGCCAGTAAAATTGTTTGGTTGTTAACATCAGAACTGTCGTTTTTACTGTTCTATATAAGTAATTTGAATTGATGTGAATTGAAATTCGGACGCGGGTTTTATCTCATTTAACTCTTGACGCTTGTTATAGGAATAACCACAATCAAGTGTAGCTTATGATCTGTTCAATTTTGTGTAAATAAATGATTGCATAGTCTTTTATGAATCAACTTGAACTCGTCTGAACGTTCACTTTTTGTGTCACTTTTCACTTCGCACAGTCAAGATATTAACAAGTAATGAGAAATACCTYRGTAAAAGTTTCTTCATAACCTTGTGTATGAGAGATGTGGGAAAAGCTTGATTCACCTTAAGCTCACTCCTACACTTGCTTTCGCCCTGATTTTTACAGCATCAATCCACATCATCCCTCACACCTGTAACAGTTCAACAACTCTTGCTCTCTATAGAACATAAACCTATTTTTACATCTTACTCTAATCCAATCTGAGCTTAAATAAAATCTTTCAGCAGCTCTGAGGTCCTGTCACTATCAATCACCGTAAATGAACGTCACCCAGCAGCAGCGGCTTACTTCAAACACCAGAGTCTCATTAGTCGGTCCAGCAGCATACAGGCTCTCTGGCTTGTTGAAAGAGCGCTGGTAGTCGAACATAGTGCCACCAAAGGAAAACTTCCCTGGCCAGTCCACAGTCCAGTCTCCAGTTAGGTAGTACTTCCTCTTTGGAGATCGGACGGCCAGGTAGCTGTTAGACACCTCCATTTCCTGGACATGAATGCTCCTAGCCCCAGCTGGAACTGTCACCATGGTGTAATATTCTGTTAATAAAAGAGGGAAAAAAATATTACGGTTATTATGGCATATTTACATTCTAGTAGCTCCTTGGGTCTCATGTTTCATCCTACTACAATAAAACAGATTTTCATTCTTCTCTTCTATGTTGAGTCAGCTCATTATCGAAAGGATTTAAATGCTTGTGCCTCCATATACTCCAACCGAACTGCCGAAATCATCTCTCATTGTCGCAGKTGCATGACAAAAGTTCTCATTMTGTTCATAGCTTCTTCCACCCCTTCTTGTCACAACCAGCTGGGAGAATTTTTTTAACCCCCTTGGCATAAAAAATTATCTGATTGGCTAGAGGTTTGTGGATGTTGTTTGTTGACAGCTTGGCTTCGGGTGGTGGGCCCTTAGCTCTTCTTTGTTATGCAGGTCTACGTAGAGTTTGCTTCATCACACCAAAACTGCAAGCTAAGAGAAACTTACCATTAGCCCGATGCTGAAGGGTGTATTGGCCCTTGAAAAACTTGCAAGTTGAGTTGTCTCCCTTACAGACCCCACAGGCATCCAGAGAGACCTTGGACCCCAGTATCTGATCACATCCCACAGCCTAAACATAAACCCACAAAAAACAAGTCATGTCAAAAAGGTAGATATAGCTATGATAACGATAAGATCCAGCTATTTATGTAAAATAAACAAGTGTGCTGTGTGTTTCAATCAATCTGTTTGTGTGTTTCTGAACAAAATGAATTATTTAAAGGTTCAACRTGGAAGCAAGCCAAAATAAATCAGATTAGGCAATGTACCTCACACACTCCATCAATGCAGACATCTCCTTTGTGGTCGGAGCAGGAGGTGCCGTCTTTAACTTTGCTGGACATGGCAAAGAAGAAATCAAAGTCTTCTGCAATGCAGTACAGCTTACAGATGTCTTCRTCTGCACAGAGAAGAAATCTAGTTGTTCATGCTTCAAACTACTTCTGTGGTCTGGGCAATTAAAGGTTACAGAAGCTACTACACTTCAAACTATTTCACACTGCATATGTCAAAAAACATTCTGCTGGAAATRACAGGAACTGGCTTTAAAAAAATCACCTACATGTACTCACATGGGGACATAATGCTTCTTTGTTTTATTTTTCTAATATCAGCTCAGTTATCATTGAAAAACCTTTTTAAAACAAAACAAATTATGGTGAAGATGATTTGGCCCAGAGTCCCATAAAGCAGTTCAGAATCTGCTCCTTTCTACATCAGCCTCCATTCATCAGCAACTTAAACAGGCCCAGGACAACAGCCAAACATGCCGCTTTTCCTCATTGCTCGCTCTCTATCTCCTAACAAAGCTGGCCCACAGGCTTCCTCTTTTAAATTCATTCCTGTTCTGTCTGAGGGTACAGGTGGCTACATGTTTCCCATGCACATTATCCACAGCTATAGTTTCCTCCAGATTGTTGGCTCTAATCTTTGCAACAATAAACAGAGTTTGGGATTATAGAAACACTCCATAAAAAAGATTTTGACAGTAAACTTTAAGATGAGAAACAAAAAAATGTGTTCTTTGAAAGTTACTGTATATTTGCCAGTTCTGTGAACTTAAAGCAATTAGAACAATGTGCCAAAAACACAGTAACATTTTGTATGTCTTTAAGCAACTGATAACTTTACCATCAACTGTGGTGTAAGGCTTCCACTTGTAGTACCAACCCCTGAAGGGCTTGCTGTTGTACTCAGCACACTGTTGGGCCCGGAAGTCTATGGCACTTTGAGGGCATGACCGGGTATTACACAGCTGGTTGTTGCGACTTGAGCCTGGGCAAAATTTACCATTGTTCTGCGGCCTGGATGGAAAACAAGCAAACAAAACAAAACTGATTATTACATTTTAAACATAGACATTAATATTTCAATAGCATCAACATGAAAATCTAAAACTCTGTGATGCAATAAATGATTGTGAAGGTGGTGTACCATTAAAAGCTGTGTTATTGGAGTCAATTAGGCCCTAAGGGTCCCCTGAAACAAATTGGCTCTAGGTGAGGGGGCCTAACAAAACACAATACAACAACCCTACTGTTGGTGATTACAAGAGCAAGACAAAGTAACACCTTGCCCAATGGAGAAAACTATGAGTCTGGGAMAAGGTGTAAGGAGGAATTTGCTGAGAATCTCTGACTTCTGTTTGAAAGGTATATGTTCCAAAACAAAGCCTTATCTGTAAAAAGAGTCATTTATATTCGGTTGCAAATGTCAGCACATTCACTCAACATCAGAGATCTTTGACATTTTTCAGTTTGTGACCCCATGTTGTTAAGAAAAACATGCCTGAATTTAACGTGTAAGATAGAGTGTTTATGTTTGTTATTCACAAAAATCTCACTAAAGAAGCCACTGTTTTAATGGCCATCTAAGCTAACTGGCTTTCTTTATCTACAGGATTGAAACTTACATGAGAGCAGAATGAAGCTTGACTGTGTCACCAAAATGATAAAAGGAATTACCGTCTGTTAGACAAGAGGAAGGAGTCTTTTAACAAACACTGGGATGTCATGCAAGACTTCCCAGGCTTTTTAAACTCATGCCAGACATTCCAAAGAACCACCAACAGAGAAAATTGAGTTTAGGTGTTTACTAGAGAGGCTTGCACATGCACATAAACATGCACTCTGCCCGGGGAGCCATACTGTGTCTAATAAAAAAGTTCAATGTTAACATAAAGACAAACAACTGGCTAACACAAATCTGTAAAAGATACAAGGGGAAAAGAACAACTTGTGGTGTATTTCTTTCTAATTTGCTGCAGCAGTGTTGAAAGTCCTTGTGTGAAATAAATGCCAACAACACTGTGAAGCAAATATTCAGGCTGACCTGCTAAACTGCATTTTACATCAATTCTGCTGTTCATTGACTCCATTCAGACCTGGACTCAATCACACAATGACTTGGCTGCCAAGAGTGATAAAGCTCCATTCAAGGTGTGTGTGTGTATGTGTGTGTGTGTCCTTGTTTTTCCTACATTGTGGGGCCCAGTTTTAAGGAAAACGCAGCCTCGTGGGGTCCGGGTGCTCCTTGTGGGCAACTTCAGAGGCTGATTTTGGGTGTGAGGGTTGGGTTTAGGACCAAGGTGTGAATTAAGTGTATGCTAGATTTAGGGTCAGGTAGGTACCTGTGAGGTTAGCTTTTGGGTTTTTGGTCAGGGTTAGGAAATAAAATTACCAAAAAAATGAATGGAAGTCAATGGGCGGGCCCCACAAGTATATAAAAACAAGTTTGTGTGTGTGTGTGTGTTTGTGTATGTCAGTGAGTCAATCTGCTCTGTGCTGATCTTGCTTCCCTTTGGTGAGAGGGGAAGTTTGGCCCTGGTTTTCATGGTCCTGATCCTATTAAGACTTTGCCGCACACAAACACAGCCCATATGGTAAGGTGCTTACAGCAGGTCAGTGGGGGACTGCTCCATATACTCCATCAGTCAAGTCGTCCTCATCAGTGCACAGAAAATGTCCATTTTCTTTAAGGAAGGCCTTTTGCTAAGTCTCTCCACACTTATTTCTGCCTCCTTTCTTCAAAAACCATTTTCTGTCCTCCTTTGACTACCCAGTGTCTTTAAAAATGAATAACAACAGGACCAAAAGTGGATCTGACAAGCTTTCAGTGTGCAAACCTTATGACCCTTAGGGTGCTTAAACATCCCAGCAGCCTGGTAAATCTGCCAGTGACAGAAACGGAAACTCCTGTAGGTCAGGGGTCATCGTGTCTGCTCTTGTCCTCTTTGTGACTCACCTGCTCCCACCGTGTCCCCCTCAGGATTTCCCACCATGCATTATACTCTTGCAAAGAGCTTCACATTCCTCTTTTGTACTGCTGGTATGAGAACAGCAATGCTATTGAACACCTAATAGGAAACTGTACTAAATAAGGGTCTGCATAAGAACCTGATTAAAGGGTTTGGCAAAATGTGTTACCAAGAGAGCTAGATCATTCAAGGAATTTTTAGTGGCAAATAGCTTGCTCACATTTTATCTGGCAGGTGGTCTATAAAAAAGAAAGGGAAAGTGTAGAGAGAGGTAGGGGAAGTGTGAAGATTCTTTCAATTTCTGAACCTCATTCTATAATGTGAAAATCATAAAATATGAAATTTAAAGTTTTTTGGGAGGACAGGCTCTGCTGTCCATAGAGTTCAGTTTTAGTGTTAAATATGAAAAAAATCATCTTTAGCCCTGATATTCTGCTTGAATTGAATCCATAAGCACCTTGCCAAAACATTAACATTCAGTTTAATGGCGAATCCAGACCAATCATTGCAGCTTCTGTTTATTGTCCATTTCATTCAGAGCAGCCACCTCCATCACATGAGTTTGTGGCAATAGAAGATTATTCTAAATAATAAGGGCCTTCCAGTACTAATTGGTTAAATGGAGTGAATTTATATAGTGTTTTACCAAGTCCCATCAGAGTAAAATGGGCAAATGATATGCTTGACCCATTTAGAGCTTGTAGTCCAGATGACATTTTTCCAGTTCTCCTTCAAAGAGAATTGCTTCTGGGCTCAATAACTAGAATATACCTTGACTGTCTAGTGAATGGCTATGTACCATTTGGGGGGAGGACAGCAGGGATTGTCTTTCTGCCCAAACCTCTAAAGCCAACATTTAGAGAAATAAAACCTTTCAGACCCATCATCTTAACAAATTTCTTAACTGTTCTTTCTTGCTGAAAGGAATGAAGTGGTTTATATATTGACATGTAAGGGATGGTATTTCAATGCYATTACCTTTAAGTCCTAAACAGCATGCATATCAGCAGGTCTTTCTACAGGAACAGCCTTACTTGATGTTTTGCGAATAGAACACAGTCTGGCACATAGACAATTTGTGCTTGGCTGCTTCTTGGACATACAGKGGGTATTTGACAGTGTACCTGTAGAATCTATGGAGAGCACACAGTATCATTTATTTAACTAGGAAAATAACGACAGCAGCATAAAAACAAAACAAATTCAAAATACAAAACTAGATACACAAAACTAAGAGGCATCACATACCTAAACTAGAGGGCAGTTACAGGAGCCAAGTGATCGGATGTCTCTGTCCATTAAAATTGATCTGAGTTGTCCAAAGGTAACTAGAGACAATAAATTTAAATCCTTAGGCGTATCATTCCAGGTGGCAGGAATGGAAAAACCTAGTACAAAGGAGACTAACCATAGTATCCAGATGGTGCTGGGAGCAGGAACTTTCTGTCAATCCAAACAAGACAGAATTGTTTCTTTTTGCTCATTAGAAGTCAAGGAAGGGTTACTCACCTCCAAAGTTGGAGGGAGTAGAACTCTTCTTGTCAGAGTCGGTTAAATCTTTGGGTGTTTATCTGGACATTAAAAATAACTGAAACATTTGTAAATTAAAAGTGTAAGAAGGCAGCAATGTGACTACACCAGTGCTGAAGRATTGCAGGTAGTTGCTGGGGAGCTACCCCAAAGGTTATCAGATAGATCTACATGGCTATTGTCCACCCCATGATTTATTTATTATTTTATTTTTTTATTAACCTTTATTTAACCAGACAAATATCTGGCTTGGGAGTGTGCCAAAGCAGTCAACCAACTGGGGAGAGATAACAGTGTTACTGTTAAATGGATACCAGGAAATTCAAAGGACCAGAGCCTGTTGTAGGTACTTCAACAAAAGCCTGTAGGACTGCCCWACAGGCCTGGATCAGACGTCAACACTCAAACCGCTTGAGGGAGCTGATGGAATGTAGACAGGCACGGGAACTGATTAACGGCACAAATCTAAGGTTTGGGAAAGCTCTTACTGCCCTGACAAGGACAAGTCTAAGTACACTGGTTGGAGTCCTAACTGGGCAYAATCTGCTCAACYGCCAYAAAATGGTGATGGKACTCCAWGAMAATGGTCTGTGTGATRCCTGYGGCATTGAATYAGAGACCTCTTTGCACTACTTAGGTCACTGCCTGGCTCTGAGTGGTCAAAGGAAAACAATTMTTGAGGAGCCCTTTATGGGTCCCGAGAAGCTCAGAACACTGACTGTTTCTAACCTTRTGTCCTTCATCCGAGGGACAAGAAGGTTCAAATAAAGATTTTGGGGAGAGCAATGGGCCCACTTAGGAGGCCCCCGCTCACAAAGATTTTATATCTATCCCCAACCATAACCATAACCAGGCAAATACAACTACAGTGAGAGAGTACAGATACTTACTAGGTGTTTTTGCAACTGCATCTCAAGTCGAGATATATGCAGACCACCAGTGTATGTCCACATCTCTCACATACCTTCAGTGTACACAGAAGAAAATATCCATGTGTGTGGCATTGAATTAGAGACCTCTTTGCACTACATAGGCCATCTGYATCTGTTTGCTCTGATCAACTGATCACATATCAAAAAGCTCCTTCGGACATATACCTGAATTTTGATCCTCATAAGTTTAATTGCATGAGAACCTTTGCACAAAGGAGGTGGCTTTATTTATATTCTTACAGCCTGCTGGCTCTGAGACAAATTAATTTGAATTTGCAGTTTTTTTTTTTTTTTTTTTTTTTTTTTTTTTTTTTTCTGCGACACTGCCCTTAGGATGGAAAATCCATCCTTAGGGGATGGAAAATCCATGCAAAGGACAACCTCCAACTTGACATGTCTGCAATCACTTGATCCCTGTGCTCTGCAGGATGATACAATAAATTTAGCCCACATTAACTGAAACAGAATATATTACTTTAAAATGTAGCCTCATTTTTAAATAATGCTATTACATTCTTTCTATTTTTTAGGAGTTGAGAACCTGGTGTAGAYGCTTTTATTTTTTTATGTATTTATCTAAATCTTTCTCCAAATGCAGCCTGCATTAGCCTACAATATTTGCATGTTGGCAGTATTCATAATTAATGTGATTGTGTTTTTTTTCTTTTAAATCTTTAAAACATTTAAAATGAGATCTTTCTTCTCTGCACTGGTCAATCACCTCTGCTGTCCTGAGCGCTGGACAGCAGCTGCAGGCAGTAYGGAAGGAGATCTGTAAATTGTGAAGTTTGATTTGGTTGACAAATTATTWAAAWAAAWTTAAGTCGGTGTAAAGGTATAACATTGACATTCAAGATAACAAAAAAGGCAGTTGAACAAATAAAATTAAACTAATAAAATGCCTTTTTTGTCAAGGCTAAAAAATCATGCAGCTCTAAAGCAGTGGGTTTTAGACCTATGTATGTTAAAAAAACATAAAAAACTCTCCTTGTACATCTGAATTTTGTTGTGTCTGATTTTTCTTCAGTGACACTCGCCAAGTCCTCATTTCAATAGGGTGGTTCTCACCACCGCTGCATCTGCATGATCTCAACATGCAGTTTTAGTAAATCACACACAATATGCCCACTTTTAACACGGAYCATTTTTTATTTGCTCATGGAATTTAGTAATGGTTTTCTGTYGTCTTGATAAATCAAGGCCTGAGTGTTTCTAACCTTGTGTCCTTCACCCGAGGAACAGAAAGGTTTGATTAAAACTTAGTGTCCTTTTGGGGAGAGCARTGGACCTATTTATGAGGCTCCCCACTCATATGGGTTCTTTATCTTTACCTTACCAAAATATGTGTAGAGATTACCTGCACTCTGTGAATGTCATGATTCAAGGACTTAAAGTGACTCCAGTCCTGCTAAGATCTGATTAAAAACTGAGAATTTTGTGAATGAATGTTTGGGATTGAGGATAGTATTGGAGGGAAAATATGTTGAATCAAATGCTGTAGTCCAGTTGTATTGTCTTTATTTCAGAGCTATGAGGAGTAAGGGCCAACACATCTTTCAAATGTTAACTCTCGACTATCTACTGAACTAAATATGTACTGTATGCTTCACCTTCTACTGGTCTACATTTTGTCCCACTCACTTTAAAACTAACCGTTTAGAAGCTTCAATCTTTCAGCAGCTGCTCCCACAAAGTCCTGTTTAGTTTCGTTTACAGGAATGATAAATGAACTTGACAGCTAACCTGGTTTAAAATGCTCTGTGGCCCTTTTCGGTCTGCCAGTCATGGTGTATAATGTGTATCATATGAGGGCCCGCCTGCCCCTTTGATCCTTCATGTGGATTAGGAGACGAGTCGACTGAGACGGGCTGAGCAGAGTGTCTGCCTCTGTGTTAACTAAGCAATGATGAAGCTAGTGAAGTACAGAAGACAATGTGGTAAAAAAGGCCATAAATTTCAGAGCACACATTTTAATTAGTCAATGGAAAAAAAAGACAGAAATGAGGCAAAAGGAAAAAAAGATTACATTTGATGAGAATTTACAAGAACTTGGAGATGAAATGAATAAAACATGAAACAGACTAAAATAACTCCTCTTAATATATTTCTAAAAATACAGTTATTATACTTAAAGTTACTGAAAGACCATTAAACAGAAACTGTCTGAAAATACTGAAATATGCAAATAGCCCTAAGCTGAAACAAAACAAGCACACCAACAAGTTAGTGCTAAAAATGCAGGCCTTTATAGTCTGTGGAAGGTCATTAACAAGCCGAGTTTGACAAGAAAAAAGTGCAATCATGAACTTAACGCCTACTCAAAACATTTTGTCAAATGTAAAAGAGCAACACGGGATCACCTGGACCCCTGAAACTTTCTTTCCCAAAACAGGTATAGTAAACCTCATAATGTTTTTACTGTAGCCTACTGATAGCTTTGCTTTCGTAGCATCCTTCATACAGTGTTCTATTGCATATACACTGTATGTCATTATGTAGTCCTTTCAAAAGRTATGAACAAAAAATGTGGCCCCTTCCATCATTTGCCCATCCCTGAACTACTTAAGTCTCTAAATATTTATTTTAGACTACCGATAGCTGTTTTAAACATTTTACCTTCAAAGAGAATACTTTAAAGCCTATCTGAACATTGCAGATTCCTAAAGTATAATGACCCCTGTGGGGCTAGTTTTGGACTATAGATTATACGAAAGGAGTAGAAGAAGGAATGATATGGCATGAACGCTTAGGAAGTCGTTAATTTTCTCTAAATATCCCTTTGTGGGCAGCCCAATGATTTTTTATTAAATTTAAGCACCTAAAACCATCAGAGGTAGCTAATTACCTCCAGACAGTTAATAAACTTTAGTACTAGATGTTCACACTGAATTACCAGAACAACTTTGCACAGCCATGAATTAAATGAAGAAAAATTAAGATCATAAAACAGCTCATACTGTAAATCTGAGTGTTCTTTGAAAAAAGGGTGTTGTGGGTCTCATTGTGCAACATAAAATTAAAGCTGAGATTTTTCCACATGCATGTAACAATGTGCATGGAGCTCATTGCTAACACCAGGAAATAGACTGAGGGATGTGGGTCTTTCCATTTGGGTGAAAATATGCTTGTGTAAGTGAACAGCTGTAGTGGACATTTACTGACTGTCTTGCCAACTTCAGACTAAAGAAGATGCTGTTTGGTGATTTTGCTGGTTTGAAGCACGGAGAGAAGTAGTCTGTCTGCCTGGGCTGTCATCCTGACAGATGAGAGCGGTTATCAGTGTGTGTGTGTGTGTGTGTGTGTGTGTGTGTGTGTGTGTG